TTATTAAGAGAGCAAAATATCATCTCCTAAGTTGCATCTAGAGAAGATAAACTTCTAAAATGGGTGAGCTGTCATGTAAAAATCTTTGAAATTGTATAATATTTTAAATACACAATAAAGATAAGCCATATCAGCCTGACAGCAGATTAAAAAAAAAAAAAAAAGAATTAGCTTTAGTATTTTATTTAATATATACAGCCTATAAATATTTAATAAAGTACATATAACTAACCTGACAGAGAAAAAAAACAAACAAACAAAAAATAGAAGATTTGATATATTTTTAATAAAAATTTAAATAAATCAATCTAAAGAAAAATATCAAAAATTAAAAAAGAAACTAATATATTTAAATTATAAAAAATAAGCTAATAGCTATAAAACAATATTAATTTAATATATAGAATATACTAAAGACAGATTCATAAATAGTTTTAATCTCATAGATATGGAAATAATAGTATCTATAAAATAATATTTTTAAATAAAAGAAAAAAATCAGATATTTAAAATTTTTGATAAGAAAAAGAACATTTAAACAAAAAATAATTGATAAATATAATATACTAGAATAACTATAGATTTTAAAAATCAAATATTATATATAGCAGTTGAATAATAGAAGACTAAAATTATTAAAGAATATATTTAAAATGGATCCTATTAAAATAATTTAAAAAATATTCTAAGAAAAAATATAAAAACACAAGAAATATTAAAATTCTATTTAGATAGATTATTAATAAATTAGAAAAAAAATATAGTTATAATAAAAATAACATATACTGTATTCAGATAGATGATAAAGAATAAGAAAGTAAGTTTCAGACAAAAGTACAAGATTGATCATTTTTTATAAGAATAGAATCAACTACTATAGTTATAATTCTATTAGTAATATTAATAAAAAATTCAATTGAAATCTATATAAATAATCAAATATATATCTTTAAATAAAATAGCTTAGAAAAAAATAATTCAAAAATAATCTATAAAAAATAATTAAAAAAAAGAAATTAATTTTTTTGAGCCAGAATACAAAGTATTATTAAAATAAAAAACTTGAAATTGAAGTTAATTAAAATCAAAGCTTATTTCAATATTAATAAAAAATAAAATAGTAAATAAAATAATTAAAGAAGTATTAAATCTTTAAACAATTAGATAAAAAAATCTGAAGTTTGATAAAATTATTAAAAAGATTAAATATCAAAATATAATATTAGATAGCTTTATAAGACAATTTATAAAAAAAAAAAGAATAATAAAATAATAATATATTATTAGATATAACAAAATTGAACTAAGAACAAATTGAGCTTTCAAATAATAACTTATTAAATTTATTTATAAGATAGTATGTAAGAGACCAAATAAGAAACATATATAAAATATATTTTCAAAAGTTTACAAAAAAAAAGCTTCCTGATCAAACTGATTTATAACAAGCTATCTATATTGTTTAAACTAAAAATAAGAAAATCAAATCCATATAAAAATAATATTGTGTAGTATGCAAAAATCAAAAGAAAACATTAGAATATCTAGTAAAATATCAATTCTATAAAGATAAAATCAAAAAAACCCAAGTAAGGAAATAGAAATAACATAAAAAAATTCTATAAAGTAAAAAAAAATAATAAGAAAAAGCTCAAGAAGATTATAATAATATTTTTATAAAAAAATTAAAAATATAAATATAAATAATGAAATTCATAAGAAAAGTATTCAATGAAAATCAAAATATAATTAATTTTTTATAGAATTAGTTAAAAGAGATCTATTAATAAAAGTGAAGAAACTAAAATATAAAGAAAAAAAAATCGGAATCATAATTAAAAAATGAATATTTTGTTATCAAAAGAAAATCTTAAATCATTTTAAAAAAGAAATAAAAAAATATAAAATATAAAAGTATAATAATATAGAAGAAGATTTAAAAAATATTTTAAAAAGATAAAATAAAAAGTTTTATATAATAAAAAGAGTGAAAAGTATAAGAAAGAAATGAGTAATAATAAAAAAAGAATGTTTAATAAAGATTTTATTAAAATCATAATAATAGGAATCAAAAATAAAATAAAATAATTGAATTTTAAGCTTAGTCAGGATTATGGTTAATAATTTGCAGTAGTGAACTGTAAATAATAATATTAATAGTATAAGATTGTTAATTCAAATTTTAAATAAATAACAAATCACTTTTGAAGTTATATTTAAAATTTGAAGACAATCTAAGATGAATAAGTTAGTGATTTAACTTTAGTATATTATAATTAATATAGTTTACAATATGTTTAATAAAATATATATAACTAACCTAACAAAGGATTAAAAAAATAATAATAATAATTACTTAATATCAAAAAATTTAGTAATATACCTATATATAAATCAATAATAAGGTATTGTAATTTATAATATGAAAAATTTTTTTTAATTTTTTAATAAAGCTAATTTTGTATTAAAATTTTTGCAAATATAATAAATTTATTATACTGTATAACTTCAAGCTATTTAGATAATTTTATACGCAATAAAGGATAATTGATTATTTTTTTTTCACTAAAAAAATTTGCCAAACCGATATTTCGTAAGATAAACTTGACTTTATGCAAAATTCACATGCATAATTTGCGGAGAATATTACGCGATTTTCAAAATCTGAGATGAGGTTTGGTCGGTGTTACCAATCCAGCTGAAATTCCGACAGATCAGCGGATTGATATTTGAAGTGCATCTATCTTTCTTTACCAGACTTGCCAGGCCTAAAAAGTTTGAAGATGGCTAGTTCTACTTCTCTCGATCCTAAGATACGGAAAGTAAATGCAAACGTTAACCTCGAGCCTCAGAGAGATAGAATTAAGTGGGTTTCTCAGGGTATAAATATAGTGCTTCGAAGAATGTTGGGATACTTGCATTCAATAAACAAATTTTTAGACTTCCCGTTCCCGGAGAGCGAAACATATTAATCACAAGTTCTCTGCCCTACGTTAATAACATTCCTCATTTGGGAAATATTATTGGAAGTGTATTAAGTGCAGACGTCTTTGCCAGGTATTACAAGTTGGGTCTAAGGCATTTTTTGTTCACTGCGCCTCTTAGATCGATTCCTTCATAGATATGCTCGTGCTCGCAATTATAATACACTTTATATTTGCGGAACCGATGAATACGGAACCGCCACGGAAACAAAAGCTCTGGAAGAAGGCATTACGTGTCAGGAGCTGTGTGATAAATATTATGTGATTCACTCTCAGGTTTACGAATGGTTCGAGATAGGGTTCGATTACTTTGGCCGGACTACAACCCAGCAACAAACCGAGTATATTCAATGTTTCTCAATTTGTCCACTCACTCAATTAAAGACTATGTTACGACTTATTATTTTGATTTTAAAAACATTCCAGCATTGCTCAAGATATATTTTTGAAATTACATAAAAACGGTTGTCTCTGTGAAAATATCATGGTCCAGTTGTACTGTGAAAAATGCCAACGGTATATAAACATGATGTGCTCTTTAATTCGAATCCTTTGTCTCGATTAAAAACCATACGTAAAAAAATAGATTTCTTGCCGATCGTTATGTTGAAGGCACCTGCCCAAAATGTGGATACGAGGTTTGTGTGATTCGCATAATTGAAACAAGAGCTGAATCCGACAAGAATAATTAGTTATTTCCTTCAGGATGCTCGTGGGGATCAATGTGATGCATGTGGACATCTTCTCAATGCCACTGAACTGGTCAATCCACGCTGCAAAAGAGATGGTGATGCACCGATCACAAGAGAATCGAAGCATATGTTTTTAGACTTGGAATCCTTGCAAAAAAAAGTTGAGGATTGGGTGGAGATATCAAGTACGGAGGGTAAATGGTCTTCTAATGGGAAGACTATTACGAAATCATGGCTCAAAGAAGGGCTCAATCCGCGTTGCATTACACGTGACCTCAAATGGGGTACTCCCGTTCCTCTTGAAGAAATGAAGGATAAGGTGTTCTACGTTTGGTTCGATGCACCTATAGGGTAAGTCCTCTAGTTTACCCGAATATGGTCGTATGTTAACAATGACATCATAAAGAATTGTTGTTTTTTTTTTGAAGCTACCTGTCTATCACAGCGAATTACACCAAAGAATGGGAAAAGTGGTGGAAAAATCCGGAACAGGTTAAACTTTACCAATTTATGGGTAAAGACAATGTTCCTTTTCATACGGTTATATTTCCGTGCACTTTAATTGGGACGGGGGAAGACTGGACTCTGTTACACCATATAAATACCAGTGGTGAGAATATGAAGGAAAATTTTTGATTAATCTTGTTTGTGTCGCACGATTCTAAAGACATTTTATTTTAGAATATCTTAATTATGAAAATACAAAGTTTTCGAAATCTCGCAACATCGGTGTCTTTGGTACAGACGCCAAGGATACTGGTATCCCTGTATCAGTTTGGCGCTACTACCTCATTTCAAGCCGTCCCGAAACTAATGATTCTATCTTTACATGGAAAGAATTTATCGCCAAGAACAATAATGAATTATTGGCAAACCTTGGAAACTTTGTCAATCGTGTCATGAAATTCATCGCCTCAAAGTATAATAGTGTTCTCCCATCATTTACAGTCGACCATGAAGCCGAACAAAATCTCATCAAGAACGTCAACTCTTCGCTGGAAAACTACCTTGAAGCGTTAGAAAACGTGAAATTGCGTGCTGGTCTCGAGATAGCTATGGAAATTTCGCGACTGGGCAACGGCTACCTTCAAGAATCAAAGCTCGATAATGCACTCTTTGCAAATAGTCCTGAAAAATGTGCTTCCGTTATTGGTGTTTCGGTGAACCTTATCTATCTTATTTCAGCGGTGATTAGCCCATACATGCCGTCAACCGGTGCGTCCATCGTTCGTCAGCTGAATGCACCACCGAGAAATATACCAGACACATGGACTATTGATATTGAGCCTGGTCATCACCTGGGCAAGGCTGAATACTTATTTACTAGAATTGATGCTCAGAAAGAACAGGAATACCTTAATAGGTATGGGGGTGCCTCCAAAACTGACGAGGTTAAAAAGAAGACCAAAAAGAAGGCACCAAAGAATGTGAACGATTCCGAATCGTTAAAAAATTAAATTTTTTTTTTAAAAAAAAGAAAAAAAGATTCAGTGATAGATGACAGGTGAATATGTATTTGATCGATTACTTATAATATGTATCACATGTATTACACGTTACAATCTTGAGAATAAAAAGAACAAGGCACATATTTTCGCACATCAGAAATAACAATCCAACGCGTTATTTTCGCACCCCCCTATCACATCTGTGTCCGTCATCATCCTCGGGTTGACGCTTTCTAGGGCCTCCTTGTATAAATGTTCAACATCTATTGTAGCTTCGAGGCGGCTGAAGTCGACTAAGCAAATTTGTTGATAAAATTCTAAATGTTTCTGTATTAATAAATCATAAGACGGTGGTGATTTGTCTCCATCCTTGTTTACGTCGATGGGCTCGTGATTGTGAATCATTTGTTCGAAATATGATTTCAGGCATTTAAGGATTCTTATAATTTCCCCACGAACCAGTCTACTTGAATCATCCACCTAGCCACGAGACCGTTAAATCTAAGCGAACAGTTAAAAATCGATCAACAAACATGACGTCTAGAAGAGAAGACTTACCGCATCTACCAGCAACCTGTCACCGCCAAGTGAATAAAACCACGACGCGCCATCGCTTAGCAGTGAGCATTCTTCAACAGGAGTGCCCCGGTGTTGTTCGCAGTAATACCATACGGCTTCAAGAAACTTGCAACCACCAATTCTAACGTAAAAATCAGGGTCGTCCATTATCTTTTCTATGGCTATCGAACTAAAGACGAATGCATACATATGTATCAGCGTCAATTGTATTAAGGAATATGCTGTTTCTTCCAGACGTACTTTAATATTTCTTTGTTGTAGTCGGCCAACAGAATGACACCGCATTCGCGTTCGGCGATAAGGAAGATCATCAGTTCCATAACAGCCCGTCTGACAAACGCCTCGGTGTCTTTCATAATGGATGGAAGTTTTGAAGCTATTTTCATGGGTAAATCTTGGGATACGCTATATTTCCAACCATCTGGACAACACATCACCGCCTGTTAATTGTATTTTGGAAAAGTGCGTTCCATCACATGATTACATAAGCCTTGTTTGTGTGAGGATGTTTGAAATGTTGATTGAACCATACCTGAATCGTTTTCAGACAGGAGGCACGAACATATGCCACTTCATCAGTAGTTTTCGAAATTATCATCAAAGGTAGGCTAAACTTGAGCGCGAATTCGACACCAGGACCCTGACCGTTTGACTGAAAAAAAAAAAAAAAAAAAAAAAAAAAAAAAAAAACCCAAAAACGCCGCGTTAATTATATACATTCTACTGAATTCATCTGCCAGAAAATCAACGATAAAATGATAAAAACCATTTCAAACAATCTACCAATAAATTCGAGAACCGAGTCGCGTACTTCCCAACGCGGATCAGAGACTTTAAACATTATTGCATGAGCCCAGTTATCCGCGTATTTACAATCAAGGATGTAACGGCCCGTGTTTTCTTTCTCAAGTAGAATTTGTATCGTTTCGAGGATCATTATTACACCGTGACTCTCGATTCTCGAGTCTATCAGTAGATTTCGAATTGTCTGTAGCGTCTGGTGCCGTAAAATACTGTGATTAATTTTGCGATTATCAGGACAAAGGCAATACGTTATGCAAGAAGAGTACAACATACCTTATTCACGATATTCACGTCTGCAACTTGACCGCCGGAAATTTTGTTAGGGACAACAATCGATATGATTTCGAGTGCTGCTTTTAGTATGCGTTGATCCGAATTATAGTCTGGGATGAACAAGACATCCAGTATCGTGTCGATGGATGTCACCTAAAAATTTTGGCACCAGCGGTTTTAAGTCGACAACATCGAGGTCTTGGGAAGTTGAAGCATTAAACCTACCGTCATTACCGATCTGTGTTTTTTTGAAAGGGAGCTAATTGCGTGTAATATGCTAAGGATCAAAGATTTCCCACCGGAGACATTTCTTCTGATATTTGAGAACAGTGTCCTTAACTTTCGAATAAAAATGGTGAGACAGCAATAAATTTGCACCGCCAAAGGTCAATCCATTCATATACCTTTTCATGTGCTCCATTTGAAATTATTAATTGGATATCGGGATTGATTCCATCGTTGATCAAGCTCTCCTTCGATTGTTGAATCTTGAAAAATCCAAGTAAAAATGTTAATACTTCTGTTAGCCTTGACGCGAGCGTTTCTCTATCATCATCTGTCGCTCGGTTGACCAACAAGATCAAGGATTCGATAACATTGACGGCCACCGTAACCATCTCAAAATTTGTGTCGGTGTTTAATAAAGGGGTAACAACATCATATATGATGAACCCGAATGCTTCAAACGACGATGATCAATAAAATATAGATACGTTTGGAAAAAAAGATATCATGTGGAGTGTGGATACATACTCTCGTAGATTGGATCATTTGAGTCTGCGGAACCTTTGAATAAAGAGATAGGCTCCGGTACCCACTCAAGCACAACGCACAAGATATCAATCATCCGGGATCTTACGACTTTGTCGCGATCGGTCAACAAGATATCCAAACGGGTAAGCTAAGGCGACAAGTGATGCAACAGACCATAAGATACGTGGAAGATGTGTGGCGTTCACTCGAGACATTTGAACAACGAACCAGCTGACCGGACCTTATGAACTCATACGCATTCGTCGTCCTAGAATTTACTAAGATCCAGATGAGTTGCAAAGCCGCTAAACGTTCGCCAATATCTTCGCACGGGTTCGATAACAACCTTCTTATTCTTTCGAAAAGATCGAGGGATGAAATTAAATGTTCCAGCAATTCATTTTGTGTAACATAGTTTGCACACGGTCCCTGGAATAATGTGGAATTGTTGATTATGGACAGAAGAAGCTTTGAAGCAGCATCGGCGACCTTTTGATGGAGGGGGAATCAATTAGAAAAGGTCTGCGACGGATTCTTTCACAACGATCATTTTACCCACATAAATGCTAGAGTCGAGAAAGCACGCTGCAATTATTTGCGGACTCTGGTTTGCGCCAAGAAACCTTTTTTTGAAAGAAAGATAAGTTCATGAATCGATATAAACGCACGCCAAAATAAGATTAATTTAATAATAACACTTACCACTTTGCTCCATATTCATAGGCAACGATTTGCTCTAGTGCTTCAATGCAAGAATGACGCGTTAAACCTTCGCTGGCGAACGCGCTGTTCAAAATGAAATCAAGTATATCATGATGGCATCCATCGATTTCCCTGAACAATCGCGCATGTTTCTTGTCGTCATTCGCCAAAAGGCTTGCTAGAAATCGTATCGATAACGCGGTGATTCTACAGTCAGGTGCTTCCTTGCTTCCCTCACGTTGACCTTGCGTGACGCAATCCTAAAACGAAATCATGATTTTATTTTACCGGTTAAGGAACAATTGTTGTAATGCTCGATCAAGCTTGTTCACGCACATGTATAACGTCCAGTACATTCCAGCTCATAAAAATTTCCACCATTTCCGGACCTTTGGAAGCATATTCTGACAAATAAGAGAAAACTTTTTCATGGATAGTATCATCCACAATGTCTCTCGACATGTGTGGCAAACAATTCAGGACATCACGTAATTTATCCATATTCCAGTTTTTCTAAAAGGAGTATTACAAGCTGATCCCTTAACCGTTATTTATATAAGAGATCATTCGCGTCCATCTATTGGCCGATGATAAAATCTGAACAATTTTTTTTTTTTTTTTTTTTTTTTAACTAAAAATTTTCATTGAAATTCACCTCTTCTGCTTTCCTTTTAGAGATATAAAAAAAAAAAAAAAGAAAAAATGGGTCGTATGCACACTCCTGGTAAAGGTATTGCAAGGTCTGCCTTGCCATATCGTCGCACCCAACCTTCCTGGTTAAAGGCTACGCCCGAAGATGTTGAAGAGCAAATTCTTAAACTTGCGAAAAAGGGAATGACACCCTCTCAAATTGGTGTGCAACTTCGAGATTCTCAAGGAATTGCACAAGTGAAAAATGTTTATGGTAGTAAGATTCTTCGTATCTTGAAGAAACGCGGTAAGCAGATAAGCGTCAAGCGATTGATTGATCGATTGATCAATTAGTCAGGTTGTGAGTTTGATTTTGCCGGAAGAATGCGATTGAACATTTTTTATTTGACAGGTTTGGCGCCCGAGATTCCCGAAGACCTATATCACCTGATCAAAAAAGCCGTCGCCGTTCGTAAGCACTTGGAACGCAATCGCAAAGACAAAGACTCCAAATTCCGTCTGATTTTAATTGAATCAAGGATTCACCGTCTTTCCCGATATTACAAGACCTCAGGTCAACTGGCTCCGAATTGGAAATAGTATCCTTTATTATTTCTCTCTCTCTCTCTTTTTTTTTTTTTTTTTACATAATATATATATTGGACATTGCGCAGAGTATTCAGGGAATTGTGAATTGGTTACACATCAAATTCCTCGCTCGGTAATCGTCTACCTTAACCCGATTCTCTAAAATTCTAACCTTTTCTCTCCTCTGTTGTTTTTTCTGTTCCACAGCGAATCTTCGACTGCTAGCGCCTTGGTTGCTTGAATGTGCCCTCATTTATTCTGAAGAGTTGTGGGTTATGAAAAGAATTCCGAATAAAATTACGATTTTCTAAACATTGAGTCTTGACAATATGACTTTTGTAGGTTGCTTTGATGTTTGACGGGACAAATTGTAGCCTTTCTTTTTTTTGTTTTAGGATAGGGAGACATGATGACTCTATATAGATCTGAACATTATTGATGTGTACCTTAATATTCACACTGTCTGATCCCTTTGTCCAAATAATCAAAAGAAAGTCGAATTTTTGTCCAAGATTTGCATCAAAGATAAATGCTGTCACGTTTACTCATTAAAAAAAAAAAAAAAAAAAAAAAATCTTCACGTGATCTAATTTATTATTCAATGCATAAATTCAAATGAAGTGATCCCGGCCTAAATAAGATCACGCAAAGGATTAAAGTCAAAAAATGTCTTTTGGTCGACCACCGGACAACGTCTCATTCGCACCTTCGCCCCCTGAACGAGGAAGCTTCCCCCTAGATCATGATGGTAATGAATTCTGTTGCTTATTCATCAATGATGCGTAAAGGTGGCGACCCCCCTGACGGTAACACATCATTCTGATATCACAGGAGAATGTAAACATCTGATGCAAGAATACCTCCAATGTCTCAAAAAGAATTTTGGGAATAATGGAAACTGCAGGAATCTATCGAAAGCTTATTTGAAATGTAGGATGGAAAAGTGGGCATTTCGAACTACATGATTTTTGTTGATTTAGATCCATCTATCTGATGGTAACTGTTATCAAATATAGGGGCCTGATGGCTCAAGATGAAATGAGGAATCTAGGATTTCAGGACGATGATAATGAGAATGACTCCTCGAGGAATATAATGAAAAATTCCGACGAAGAACATTAGATTTGTATGAGAGTCATTCGTTCGTTCATTATACAGACAACATTAATTGATTCAACCTGTCATACTTTATTTAATTTATAAGGAAAGAAAGAAAGACAGAAAGAAAAATAAAATAAAATGAAATGAAATAAAAAACCTCCCCGAAATGTCAGTCGTACATGAAACGAAAGACCCTCCTAACGAATACAACCAATAAAACCAAATTGTTTATTGTTTTGGATGGTCATTAGAAAAAAAAAAAAAAAAAGAGAGAGGGAATGCTTGGAGATTCTCAATTTCCAATTGATAAATCGTTTAATGCCACACAAACTGCCGCTTTATGATGTCCGTTATATTGTCTTATCGTTTCGCCTTGTTGCAAGTCCCAGAGCCGAGCGGAATGATCCGAAGATGCTAGGGGTGCGTCAAATAAGTCGTAAGTCTTTACAATTAATTTCTTGCTACAAAAAAAAAAAAAAAATGGAAATGATCTTGCTCACCGGTGACCAGGTAAGCCGAGTCTGCTGAGAACGCGCAATCCCACACCCATCGTTGGTGTCCCTTGAGTTCCTTGTCCAGATTAAATTCGTGATTCAACGTGGACCATATTTTAACCGTGTTATCTGCCGAACACGTCGCTAAATTCCTACAAATATATACGATCGTGTTTGTGCCGTCAATTACGTGAATAACGCTAATCCGGAATGTTGATTTCAGTCTTACTTGGCATCGGGACTCAACAAGCAACGAGTTATATATCGGTCATGTGCCGAGAACTTTGTGATTGTCTGTAGATCGGTGCAATCTCTCGTATTAGACATCTTCCACACGAAACAATTACCCTACATGAATTCACCTGTTTAGTAATTACGAGGATGAGGTTGATCGCAGGAAAGAGCGATTGACGGCAACTATTACTTTGTTATTTGCAGCCACAAACATTGATCCATCGGCAGCTATGGTCACGGAACGCAAGGGAACGTCCTCTTCGGGAACCTAGTTTTACAATTGCGAAAGTAAACTTGACGTGACCATACGATCAGAAAATCACGCCATCCATGGTGACGCACCAATTCATGAGTGCAAGAATTTTCACTTAAATCCCAAATCTTGATGCTTCCTTTTTGATCGCACGAAATCAATTCCCCTTGATTGGGATGGATGGCCACATCATTGACCGGAGCCTTGTGATCGTAATTGCGTTGAATCGATGGCGCCCTGATCCAACAGAAAAACAAAATTAGTCGTAAAAGTCGGGAAGATGACAAAGGAAAATTATCGTGATGATCCGTCACATCTAACCTATGTATCACATCTTTTTTAATATAACATGCCTTGTATCCCATATTTTAAGAGTTCCGTCCTCACTGCTGGTGACCATCCATTTTCCTTCACAATGAAATCCAACGGCTGTTACATTGCCGGTATGACCATCAAAGGAAGTTATCTGATAAGCAAAGCATTTTAAAAAGTCAACATGATGATGACACAAACCGGATCACTTGGAAATTTACCGGATTCGAGTTAGGACTATTGATATCGTACAACCGGACATGTTGATTTCCTTGGATGCAAATTCATTTCAGTGCAGGGATTTCGAGGCTTTCAAGAAAAGAAGACGGATAAAAAGCTGGTACCTGCTGCCGCTAGAAATCTTTTGTCGGGAGTGATGCACAATCTGTTAACTTGCTGGTGTAATACAGAAGGCAATGAATGGTAGGTAGACTCCGATGCGCAGGAATTTCAGAGCTGCGGCCACGTCAGAGGTCGTAAACGTGAACTTACCGAATCAGGATGCTGAATGGTTCTCGAACAAATACCGCTGAGAGCCTCCCAGAATCGAATGGTATGATCGTAACCGGCGGTCACTAAAATCACGGAAGAGGAGTCCTGATTCTGATACTGTTGCTGTGCATAGTATTGTTGTTGGGCCGGGTAATTATTGTAATGGGGTCTCGAGTGATGCTCTGCTCGCCGCATGGTGGAGAGTTTGGCCGCTGTATTATTGTGACTGTGATTATTATTATTATTATCGGTTATTTTTTATGAATGTACTTACGTCGTACATGTAAAATGATAATCTACTGATGGCCGTTTTTTCAAAATTCTAGAATAATCTTGATGGGTGGGATGAATTGATCGCCTTCTTTGACCAATTGGCAATCCAAAGAATTTCCCGGGAAAAAATATTGAAGCGGCGACCTCGGTTACCGGCACGGTCGTTGGCACAAACGATGCGATCACGAACCAAGATGTACCAACCTATCACACGCGTTCGCGATGACATGGCATTTGACACTATAATCAGGGCGCAGCGTGAAACGAGTTTCAACACATTTCAATTGATTTCCTATCGGGACATTCCGCCAAAAAAGTTATTCAATCGTCGTCCCTGTATATCTGATGAGCGTTCGTATGTCCCAATTTATCCTAAATATGTAAACTCTTAACAAACAAGGCTCTATGCAAAAATTAAATTCCTTTTTATGAATGTTACAGGACGTAGCATTGCATCTAGCTTTTTTTGGCCATGCTTCCTTTGTCTCACCGTCGCGCATGGCGAAATCCAATGATAATGATAACATGACGCATCTGTATCCGTTGTCACACTTCGTTACGTATTATCCGTACGATAAATTTGTCCAAAGCAGAAACCCAAAATCACATACGTCTTTCACTTTCAACTCTGTTTTAAAAGTCGGCGGCGGTAAAACACCTGAAATCCCATGCCTTCTTCCGCAGGTTCATATACTCGATTGTGAAGTATCAAAGCAAACAGAAATTTTCACATAACAACAAGTTGGTACAAAAGAAATTATGAGCGAGTGGACCCCGCAACCGCCTCTGTTTGCTTTTTCCCACCCTTCCTCCAAGGAAACCGAAGAGGTTAAACAGATATCCGTGAAATTAACTGACGGCGATCCAACCAAAGATTATTGCGACAACAACCGAGCCCAAGACATTGATCCCACGATTATGGCAAGCAATTCTCCACGAAATTCTATAATCTCCACCTCGAGAAGGAATTCGGTCGTAGCCGTCACCACAAATTCAAGAAATTCCCGTCACACTGGCAACGAGGATTGCGATAATTTGTGGGATGACGAATTTATTGGACATATCATGAACCTGGTGGACTCAATCGGGAACGAAACGGAGCAGACGTCCAAAGCTTGTATTGTGAATGGTGGTGGTGGTGGTGTCAGGAAGATTTATGAACACCAGAAGACAGACTCGGGGTTTGCACAAATTCCGGAGGAATGCAAATCGCAAATACCCGAGACCCCGGCGCAGGAGTATGCCCAAATTGTGCGAAACTCGATAGTTTCGCCTACTTTGGAAAGTGAACCACAGCTAACCGAGCAGGTCAATAGTGAAACAACAGTCCTCCCTTCAACGGAGACGACGGGAAGTAGTTCGGTCGGTCAAACACTACGACGTACGATGAGCAACCTCAGTAGACGTAGTTCGATCCATAGTCGAAAGTCGATGGACGATAGCAGGAGTATATTGTCGAGAACATCGAGAGTTTCTAGAGTCGAGAAAATTGCCGAAGTTCCAGAAGAGGAAAGCGACACCGAGAATAACGGGAGAAAAATTTTCTCGGGGAAAAAGAAGAGGGCTTCCAGCGATTTGGCAAAAAGTAAATCGAGCAATGGATTCTTGCGTAAATTTTTTAAATCTAAAATCGATCGGATTGCGAGTTTAAATAAGACTCCGATGAGTGAGGAGGATGCCGTTGATACCGATGACCGATCGGTAGGAGGTAGCGCAGACGACATCATCAATTCAGCATCATCGAACAATGACATCAATCCCGATAGTAGTAGCATGACGGAAGAGGAGTGGCAAAGGGTGTTCAAAGTGTGCGAAGAGCAAGGGGTGTCACTTTTAGGAAAAAAGCGTAACCACATCCATAGCAATGTAAACGATGGCGTCCGAGAACCGAGAGATGATTATTTCACCTCTGCAAACAATGGAGCCAGTAAGGTCACAGGTGAAGGTGGTGGAAATAAAGGTCACTCTAATTTCTACCTCGCGATGCCAAATGGTCAATGGATGGTTAGAACTCGGACGGCATCAAGAAAAATCATCGGTATGTATTTCTCCCATTCATCTTTCCTATTATCGCCGTTCAAATTAACAAATTCTTTTATCATCATTATTATTATTCCGAATAATCCTGACGACACAGACACGCAATATGTCGACATCAATTGTATATAAAAAAAAAAAAAAAAAAAAAAATTTCTATTTTAAAAAAATCTATTTATTATCTATTTCTCTCTATGCACGTAAAAATTGATCATATTTAAACTCTCATAGAATAATAATTCATCACACGTAATTCTTGACCTTTTTCATCATTTTATTTAATTCACGTCCAGTAACAATATATATAAAAAAAAAACCGCTACTGAAATAGGACATTCATCTTATGATTGGCTTGTTGAATTTTTTGTGTTATGTTACATTGTATATATATATATCATGATCGATTTTTTTTTTTTTTTTTTAAAAAGTCTGGGTCAAATGTCCGCTGCTGGTGGCAAACATCTCGATGGATCTTCGGTGCCAATGGACACCGACAATGTGATCTCTAGTGACAATGACGAACCAATGGACCAGGACCTTTTGAATGCGCCGGAAATAATAGTAGACGACATTCTGGACTTTGTAATATTGCGATCTTCTCAGACGTGACCTTCCAGATTCCATGAAACTGCACTCTCCTCACCTTTCTTCCTCACACACTTTTAGAAAACAGAAAAAGGCGTGGTCAAAGATCCCACGAGCGTAACATTTACCATAAATGGAGAGGATCATACTTTAGGGAACGCCTTGCGTTATACGATTATGTTAAAGTAGGTTTGAAAGGACTTGGACTTGTATATATACCACAAACGCAATGATACGCCGTACATGCATACATATACATTCGGAAATACGTGCCCAGATATTAATTGTAATACTATTGGTAAAATATTGAGTCCCGAGGTCGAGTATTGTGGCTATTCAATCCCACATCCGTCAGAAGACAAGCTTAACATACGCGTCCAGACCACAGGTAAACTAAGCTTGATGATTGATCAATCACCTTTCGATCTTTCGTCGGATTCTTGTTCTTTGCATTAACTCCCGTGGTAACCTGCAATCAATCCAAAGAGAATACGACTGCGATCGAAGCTTTGCGCAAGGGTCTCGAAGACTTGAAAACGATTTGCGATCACATCAAGGAAACTTTCATCGACGCAAACTTAAATTTCGATAATCACGAGATTACACCGGGTGGCAGCAATAGTTAGTATTGCCTTGGTGGCGAATAATGATTTAAAGTATGAATCTGCGTCTCATATCCATTAGAGCAAACACTTGGTGAATTCTCACTGGAGTTGAAAAGTTTATTGCGGATGTTCGGTTTAAATTAAAATATAATACAGTTTTTAAATACAATCAATCCTCAGACTATTATTATTGTCGTTGTTGTTATCATTATCATTATTATCGTTTTTTAAAAATCATGTATAAAAGGCGTTAGGGGTTGCTAGAAGAAAATTTCACCAACTCCTCGACTCTCAAGTTCTCGGAAATTTGAGGAACCGTGTATAAAGTATTGAGTATTTGAACGTTTCTGTGTTTTACGGTAAGAATTGATCAAAAAATTTTGCAGATATGTAAGTAATATTTAAAAGGAATGAGAATAAAGATACCTTTCCTCAAGTTGTTTGATTCCCGCTGTTAGTTTTTCCAAAGACTAATGGTGTCGCATTTAGAATCCATAACACGGGTGTCATAAGAATATGGCAAAGTTTTTTTTTTTCAACCGTACCTGATGAGTAGATTTGATCGACATGTCGATATTTGCAAAAAGCCTGGCGGTTCTCACTACCTCCTTTGGAAATGCGATAACAATGTTCGAAGAACGTTGTTTTCTTCTTTTCTTAAATCAAAAGTTGAACCGGAATCATGGGACATTACCTCACTAACATTTGAATTCCTGACAATTGTCTAAAAAAATTTTTTTTTTTTTTTTTTTTTTTTTTTTTTTTTTTTTTTTTTTTTTTTTTATCAGGTAAAGAGATCTTTCTTCAAAAGTAAATCAAATTACGAATAAATTCTACCTTCACAATACCGCGCAAACCGAGGAACGCATTCTGAGCTTTTTCATTGAGTTCCGGCTTCATTCTTTTTCCATCGAAAAAATCAGATCACGGTTAATTTCCTTAAATATTGATCTTATAGTCACACACATTGTGACTAATGAGAGATGAAGTCACAAGTCATAAACGCATTTCCTAATCAAGAATCCATGAAAATAAATAAAAAAAGCCAAATGATGTTCAAAGTCTACAAATCTTATCCGTAGACACATTGGGACACACACAAAAAAATGACGGCACCTCAAAATCCTATCACCAAGGTAATCTGGGATGGCACATTACCCATTAAGTTTTCTCTCGACACCGCCGAGGCTGAAGCCCTGGGTGCAAAAACTATAATAGAGCCCTTCTTTGTGAGTTTCCCGTCCATTTTCCGAACCTTTGACTCGTTAGGACTTGGTCACTAACAAATCTTCGATTTGGAACTATTCGTGACAGATAGAAGCTCCACGATGTTCATACTTTCCCTTGTTAACGAGTCAAGTAAGAAAGTATTTCGGAGATATGATAGTAAATTTCATAGGTGACGACGCCGATATATGGTATGACGTTGACGGAAACCCGCTGAAGTGGTAGGACCCTTCATTACAACGAATTCTCGGTCATTAATTACATGCGCGTGTTCCGGGGTTCATTCTAACGCTATTGGCGTGAAATTAAGGCATTACCCTATAGGATTGTTGTTTGATCTACACGCCGGGTATCGTCCGGATTCCGACAGCCCCAAACCTTTACCTTGGCCTGTCACCGTGCATTTCAAGAATTTTCCGGCGGAAAAGCTAATACGGGCGAATGTCATTGATGCCATGCAGGATTTTTTTATGTCAATGATCAAAGAGGTATTCGTTGTTCTCACAATTCAGTCGCCATCGAGATTTCCTCTTCATTCTGCATATCTTAATTAATTCAACCTTTAATCCATTGTAAGGCCGATTTCCTTAGAAACGGAAGCACGAAAAAAGTAATGAATTTGTCAAAGAACGACCAAACTCAGTTATGGGACGGGCTATGGTCCAGTATCCTACATATATGAATTGTTTATTTCGTCTCATTCTTTGAACTTTAAATGGTTGTGACGAAAAGATATATGCATGTCAAAATCCTTAACCGTACCCTTTCGACCCTTTTTTCTCCTATTTTTCTTCTCTTTTTTTTTTTCTTTGCTCAAATATATCGTAAAGAGAATTACGAACGATTTTGGAGTGTAAATTATCGTCTGGTCATCAACGATGGACAAATCCCGAGACACATCCCATTACGAATATATTTGCCCGACAATTGTCCGGTGATACAAGAACCGATCTCACCTCTCGATGAAAATGGTGAATTGTATAGGCATTTTTTGTTTTTTTTTTTGTTTTTTTTTTTTTTTTTTCTATTCCCCCTTTGAAGTTAAATGCTGAGCATAGAAATGGATCTCATTGCGTGATCATTTTCATCTGCAGGAAATGAACTCACCTTAGGAGATGTACTGCATCAAATCCTTCCAGAGTTATTCCCATCCCCCCAGCCTAGCGAAAATGCCTTTGCCGTACCAGTAATTCACGGTGTAATTCCGCGACTGGACACGCCGATTGTTGGGGCGTCGCAAAATCTTTGCTATCCCGATAATTTCCTGCACATTGTCGTTCTTTTGGCAATATAATGATGTGAATCTTTTATTTATTTCCTTGTAACACAAATATATTTAATGCACGGGTTGGTAATTACTTTGGAAAGTAAGGTCACGCACATGTGCACAGGCTTGCAATCCATTTGATAGAGTTTTATTAGATCTTGCGTTTTTAGAAGTGGGAAGCATTTCTTCTAATCAACTGATCATTCAATATTTGCCACTACCGTGTAACTTGCGGCCTCAGAGTATTTGGATTTCTCGGATACTTTTTCACCTATGCAAAGGGTTGAATGATGAAATCGGACAACCTTAATAGGCGAATGCATTTTACTACGTTGTTTCTTTCCAATTGAAAATCATATGATCTTAATGTACATGATAAGACACATAATACTCAATATATTCCTAGAGTTGACGTTATGTTTAGTCAATATCGTTACGGCCGGATCAAGTGTGATGCAAAAGGTGAGGACCGGCGAAAATAAAAATTTTTTTATTTGATAAAGTTTATATGTTTGGGAAAATCCAATCAACTTGTTAAAAATGTTATTGGAATGGACATTGATGGATAATAATATATTTATATGCTTGAATGATGAAATTTTCTTTATCATTAATCTTGACATTTATTATTATTACATACATAGATACATGTACAGTATATAATGATGGTTTTGATTTCAAGATGAATTTTAAATACTGTAGTTCAATATACAACATAACAGTATATACTGTACTTACAATATACTGTATATCCTATATATATACTGTATATACTGTATTTTTTTTTTTTGAAATGTGATTCCTCATGAGAATGGCGAATATGATTTTTTTATACCGTGTATAAAATAAAGGCCACATTTTCACAAATAATTTTTAAGGGCTATCAAACAAGAATGCCACGTTTTTGTTAGCATACCCTATTTGGCATGTCATGTTTGTCGCATTAATTTCCGATCTGCATGAATTACGTATGTACAGGACACGCCTGGTTTCAACCTACAGTATATGGTCAAATGGTGGTGGTTCGGTGAAAGCGGCTTTCATTTGAAACATCTACCTTTTGACAACAATAACATAAAACGACGATAGTTTCTCCAAGATCCTAAATGAATTCCGATCATGAAAATAGGCGACAAATTCCCAAGTTGAGGTTGGAATTGCCACCTTTGTGTCGGAGTAGAAGTCGTAGCAACGATTTTGACTCGACGTCGGGTGGGGGCTTTAGAAAGCGGCATTCGAAAAGTCACTCCCAAGATTCCATAACCTTCCGCACTGGTTGCAATGGTCGAAATGGAATTCTTGATGAGCAAAGCAGTGATTCTTACTTCCAAAGGCTTTGCACTCTTCCTCCAACGGAACACCTTCCGATGAGGGATATATCACTCAGAGAAGCTGGTCGTAACATTTTATATGCATTTTCTCAAGTGCATAAAGCTTTAAGACAATTCATTCGATTCACCGGCAATGAAAGGATCTTTGCGCCCGAACTCAACAAGGCAAGCACCCTGATAACACAGTTGAGTGCGGCGTTGCAAAGGTTTGACACGTTAGCTTTACAAACCGCACCGGACGCATTTCATTGGTCCCGATTGCTCATGTCAATTCAAGAAAATCTATCGTGTTTTAAGAGTCTCATGGAATCGCTGAGAAAACGTCTAAAGTCTCTAACTCAATCTTACGAAAATATTCGATATTCTCGCACCCTTCTTCTGACCTTTCATGGAACCGTGGCTGATATCAAATTCGCGTGGGAACACCTATTTCCATTATTGAATGATTACACTCCGTATACAGGACCTGCGTCACGCGCAAGATCGAGTTCACGATCAAATAGTATCAACACACCACCCTACTCCTCTGGGTCCCCTAATGGTTCCTATTTTAATGGAGCGATCACAACACCCACTGCCTATCCATATGCTGTCAACAACGATGCACCATTTCCGGCTCCCGTGATTGAGCGGCTTATACTGCTATCGGAAAATTCGATTAAAGCGGTAGAATTCGTTTTGAAGCATTTGTGTGAGCAGATAGGCAACGAACTTTCCCCATCTATTAACGAAGATGCATCACGGCCATCATCTCCTATAAAGAATAAGATGATGGAGATGAAATTACACGTAAAATACGTATCCGAGGCAACCGATCGATTAAAAAAATCTCTGACCGTATTCAAATTTTCTACAGCGCAGAAAGAAAACTCCAGTATTCAGTTCAAATTATACAAGGATACCATCTCATTTCTTCAGGTAGGTTTCATCTCATCCAAATTTTGTATTAAATCGGACACACTGATAGGACTACTATGATTCTCCTAGAAAACGGTAAAGATGTCGACCATGGCCAAGGAAATTTCTCAAGAATGGAAATTGGATGGCAAAATTATGTCGGGGTTGGGACAGGTGACGAAGACTAATATAAAGTTGGCCAATCTTTTGCGTTCAGTAGAGGAGGTCCCGTCAATGGTGGACGATGGAAGTTCTCCAAATCAACTATCACCAAATCCGATGGCGGTTCCTAAAAAGATTGTTAAGATCGAACGCGAGGAAGACGATGCTGTGGACGACAAAGAATATAATTTAGAAAACAATTACAAACTAGATGGTTACAATATTTTTCACGAAAACAGCGCAATGGAAAACGGGAAGCGTGAGGGAAAACAAGCCCTTCTGTTCGCTGAACCCGAAGAAACTATTATTACCGACGAATCTTTGTCGTAAGCCGAAACATTAGTAATAGAGATGTTGAACATCCCCACTTGCGTTAGTATTGCACGTTACTTGTACTATACATTTTAGCAACTTTTGAGATTTATTTTTTTCGAACTTATGTTGCATTTCGTACAAAATTTGTATATTTAATATAAATATAAAAATATAATCTTTAATTTCGCTGTGTTTAATACATAATCAACCTTAAATTAAAAAATTTGTATCTTGTTAAATATTGTAAATATTAGAACAAAATGATTTTCGAGAAACATTGCTGGTCAATCACGTGCATTGTATTTACATATTAATAAATTTTTAAGATTCAACTTTAATTAAATGTCAAAAATTAGGGATGAAATATTTTCTTTGTGTGAAAAATTACGTCCACCTTTCTTTATATACGAAAGGAACGCAAATGGTATTGTCTAAATTTTTCGAAAGAGAATAATAATAAAAATTGACGATTGCGAATTATTTATAGAACAATTGTCACAAGTGAACTTGTTCAAGATTCAGTCCAAATTAGCGTTAGAAAACCTACAACGCCTTATTAAGCAAGCGACAATTGAAAACAATTCATCGTATAAAATTGATGATGACACGATTCAAGAAATCATAACGTCGTGCGAGGCATTGATCGGTGGAGATCTTTGGGTTAACTTGGATCAAGGCAGTCTCACCAATGGTGAGTCCGTATCTAGGGCAATTCGCCAGCAATGATCTGTATTACTGTACTTCACTTCAAGGATTAACAAATCATTGATCGTTTAGAGACCATCGAGCTGTTTGTAATGTCGGAACCAACGCGGTTTCCTACTACTTCGCGAGTGCTGCAAATATTTGTCCCAAGGATTTTAGAAAAATCAATAAAACCGATATTTTTAAAGTATTCGAAGGTACAGAGTGACAAGCGTGGTGGTAGAACGTTGAAAAAACAGGTGTTGGACTTTGATAACGTGAATGAGCAGTGGCGAGGAGAAGTGGCGCAGGCTGCTACTCTACTTTATCGTTGTGTACTTCAAATGAAGGTATATTATTGCAATGGACTATATCCACCTGTAGTGTAGCTCTAATATTTATTAACTTATCAAATCAATCATTGCTTCATACTTTTGAAGTGCACAGAAATGGAGAAGATGCTCGGTCAAATAGTTCCACCGACACTATCACTTATCGATGATTATGACGTGAAACTGAAGACCCTGGGTGTATCCACATTAGATTACCTTTTGAAAGAGGTCAGACCCGAAAGCATTCGACGATCAGGATTGGGCGACGTTTTTTACGAGGTGAGGTGCACTTTCCACAAATTTATTGGATTTGATTTTACACAAAATTAAATTATTGGAAATCCTCCATAGGCGTTGGTCAATTGTCTCAGTTATCAAAGTGAAACTTCGCATTTGCCATTGTTACGTTTGAGCTTCTCCGCGATAATTACGCTGGTCTCATTGGTTGAGCCAATAGAGGAGAGATCTAGATATACCAAGTACGAGAAGATCCTGTCAGATAGTGTTATCAGAGGATTTGTTTACTCGGGGGATAAAATAGCGGTTCGCCAAGTCCTGCTAGAACAAATCCCCCGTCTTGCTGAAGGATTGGGGATCGTGATTGTTAAATATTTGCAGGTGCGTTCATCGTTTTTGTTACTTATTAAATGAGCTTACGGGTTCTATTTAATTCTGCAAACATTAAATAAATAGGATTTGATTCAAAACCTTTGCGCTACTTTAGAAGTTGCATTAGACGTTCCTAATAAAAATGAAATATTGAATTTACATTTAACGGCTTCGAAAGGAATCGAAGTGTTAATAACTAAATGTTGGCCAAGGTAATTGAAATATTTAAATTAAATTTTTTCACCTTAATTTTAATGGCAAGCGTCTACACAAGGATACCACAATATGAGGGTAAGCTATTGAAATCGTTTGCGACGTCTTGGTGCAACGCAACTCGACTAGAGCCGAAAGGTAACTAATATAGATGATACTGGGGAGTCGATGTCGGTATATATTTAACGCTAATTAAAATGATACATGCGGAATTAGTTCTTTCGGATGAAACTTGTAAAGATAGTGTCGTGCTACTTAAGACTGAGTTAAAAAAATTGTGTCAACTTTTAAGATTGTCATGTAGCGACGATCCCAGCATCATTGAGGTCTGGAACCTTTTTTTTTCCGTAGCAAGTGACGAGCATTTTCTATCAATGATTAACCTTCCTAACCGTTTACAGAACGACATTAACGCTCTAATAAATCTGGATCGTCCAATGTTTGAATTTTTGTTTGCGAATTCATAATAACCAAAGAGAGGTATTACACTTTGTCTTTTTTTATTATATGCAGTATAGATGTTTTGCAAACTCATGTTTAAATTAAAACCAATCACTTTCTTTTCTTTAATTGATTATAAATAATGTATTAACGACTATATTTAAAATCATCTGAAAAATATATTGCATTTAATTATTGATAAAGCTTATAAAGCTTATGATTTAAACAATTATAAACTATATATATATATATATTTATATATTTTATGAATGCTTTATTTACAATTCCAGTTAATACTCTTCCTTGTTTGCAAGTAATTATTTTTTTTTTGTTATAACCTATAGTCAAGTTAGATTAAAGTTTTTTTTTTTTTTAGTACCCTTTGTCAGATTAGGTATGTATGCTTTATTAAATATTTGTATACTGTATATTATAAAATGTTTCATTAAAGCTAAATCCCTATCTAATTCATTTATCTCTATTTTTATTTTTTTCAAACTTTAACTACAACTTTAAAAGTAATTTATTACTCAATTAGTAATTCAGATGCCCATGTTAAATTAAAGTTTATTAATTAATTAAATACTGTATATATTTATTTAATTAATAGAGATTTTTTATAATAAAAAGGCTTATTTTTATTGTCTTGACTCTCTTAAAACTTCTATTTTTATGGCTTTCTAAAGAATTTTATTTACTTCAATTTGATCTTGAATTTTAAATAATATAAATTCTTACTAAAAATAATTGACTAATATGAAACATATTGATTTTTGAAATATAAACAAGCTTCTATTAATTACATTTATATGTTTCAATAATATTATTGATAATTGGAAAAAATATTCTAAAACATTTGTTTCAAAATCTCAAGTTCCTTAATGAAATCTTTTATGATATCAAAAGATCAAGTGATAGATAATATAAATTATAAATTCCTGTCTTTTACTTAAATTTTTCAGATAATAACAAAGCTTTAATGAAAAAAAGTTAAGATCTAAATACTTTCCTTGAAATATTCCAATCTGATACTTATTTAAATAAAAAACCAGTTGGATTGACTCATTCAATGCCATAGATAATGAAAAAAAAATTTTTTTTTAAGATTCAAGTAAAACAAGAAAACTATCTTAATCAAATAGATACTTTTTGAGAAAAGATTGTTTTTATTTTTAAACTTTTTTGATAGACTATGAATTGTTCACTTTTTTCAATTGTTTTTCCCTTTTTCCTTATTAACTTAACAATTCGTTGATTTTTGAACAATTAATAGTAACAAACTGTTGGTAATGATCCTGGTAGATAAAGATTATTACCAATCTATCAAGGGAGTTTAATTTTGTCTTTAAAATCCACCTTATAATACTTATATATGAAGATAAGTTAGTCACTTTGTGAAAGTTATAAACTATTGTAAATTTATTTTAATTTCTCAATAAAAATAAGACATTATGATATTATTGTGAATTAAAAAAAAGTTTTTAAATTTGATTTTAAAATCAATATTTTGTTTCATAATAAAATTTAAAATAATATTTTTTTATTTTATATATTATTATTAGTTTGTTACATTATATTAAAAATTAAAAAACTCTTTCCGCTGATCCCTTGACCACACACAAAAAAGATGTTCGCAAGAAATTTTTTATTTCTTTGCTAATAA